CTTTTGGTTCATCCTAATATTAAAATCGTGGGTGTGCATAAGTTTCTTTAACAGTACTGTTCGTACTTCGTGTCCAACGATGTTTCTTACGCGAATCGCGATGTTAGAAAAAATGCAGAATTTCGTAATGGGATGGCTTAACGTTTAACGACCCTTTCAAATCTTTCCCTACCTAATTAAGTAATTCATTTTTACTAACATGTTACACGGTCTAGCTCCCTGTTGCATAAACATTTATTATTCACGTTTACTGTTGACAAACAGTATCGTTCCTTCTTATGAGTAATACATTACAACGATACTAACTTTTATCTAATGACTTCGTAACGTAATTCGGAGAGATCGCGGATAATAAACTACGGAATCTACACAGGATCTACCTCTTAAATAAGTTCAATTAAGTCCGATTCCCGATAGATTCTTTTCGGCTATAGTACAATGTTACAAGCAATGGTTTCCTTCGTGGTTCGTGGTGTGATGCTTTTTCATCTGAACGGATCCATGTGGACCCGATATGATTGCGAGATCTAGCAATAATAGGTAATGGTATCTTATGTTCTAATCGCGGAGTATTATCGAATCGATGAACAAGTAAGTTCGCCCGGGTACGCACGCTTCCTCTCTCGTTGCCTCGGAAACGTGTCATTTAAACGGAATCCCGCGTTGCGCAGTTTCAGCAACACTGGGTAATCGTATGTGACCCAAGCTTTAATTCGTGTGAATACGCCTTTCAGACTTTCTTAAACGTTAATAACGCTTGCTCTTTTTCTTTTGTACCTGCCGTGATAAATCAACGTGGCTTTGTCTGAAATCACATTCACGAATAGTTCTCAATTGCAGCGTCGTAAAAGGTGGCAAGCGAGAAGGGTACTCAAGAAAGTTGCTAGAGCACAGCGGGCGCGAATAAAAAATATTGAATATTGCTAACGGCTTCAGAAAATTTGAAAATTGTGCGTTAAGTTAAAAATAATTGATGAACGCTTGCGTCAGTATTATAAATAATCGCTCCCCTACCGTAACAAACGCAGTTGTTTATCAAATATAATACCTAACTAATTTACAAAGGCTTTGACTCTGCAACTGAAGCTTCATAAAGGTTTATAGATTAATGAAACAGAATATTACGATATTGCTTTAAAGATAATTGTCGACAAGAGTGCAATTACTTATAGTATTTCTGAACGGTTCCTTGAACTAAAATGATAGCTTTCTTGAGAACCCAGTGAGACTTCTAACGTTAATGAGATAAGCAGAGGATCTACCCAGGGTGAGATATTTAAAATGTAACAAGTCATTCATTGCTATTGTAAATATTGGTACGCACTGCATTCTTAAACGAAAAATATAAAAATATAAAACAGATAACTTTACATATATAAAAATAAATCATTAATTCCAAGAATTTCGTCATTAAAATTTCGTGAGAATCTTTTAAAGCGATCGACAACGTTTGAACGCAGTTTCAAAGAAACATGGATTTGAAATAATAATTCTGATGATAAGATAAGATGACAGTCTGAATTTAAGAGGAAGTTCATTCGTGTCTGTAGGAAAAAACAGCTTGGCACATTCCGAATGCCTCGCCCCGTAAAATGGAGAATAGATAGAGCACTGGGATTGAAGATGTTGGCGTTTAAAATGAAATTAACTCGTCCACGTTAATCGGACGAGCGAGGCGGAGGAGCTGCGTTACTGACCTCTTCGTCGGAGGCTTGAGTAAAGGCTCCTATCGCCTGTTGGACTTGCGGCACGGTGGTCCCACCGGCGAGATGAGCCACGGCGGCTTGTTTGCCGAGTTTCACGGCGTCCTGCGTCGCCTGTGACGACTCGGCCCTCCTAATATAAGCGGCCTCTTTTTTCGGTGGTACCACCGGCTTGTTCGGAGGCACCGGGGGAGGAACGCCCCGTGAAATTGCCGGCTTTTTCGAGGACAGCATACCGCCGCCGCCGCCGGAGGTTTGGATCGTCGAGCCGGTGCCAACGTGATACCCGAGCTTTCCCGCAGCCTGCGTCGACGGTGCGAGTTTTACTGTGCCTCCAGGATTTACGGTAGCAGGTACGACCACGCGTTTGTCTACAGCCTGGGAAATGAATAGACAGGAGAACCGATTTAACGCTCGGGCTATCCCTTTCGAGCACCCTCCTCAGAAGGGCACTCGCGTAGATACTGTCGTTTTATAAGTTACGGTTTAAAATATAAAATAGAAGTAGAAATTATATCAAGTCACCTGTCTAAAGTCTAAAGAGAAGATCAATGAAAATTATTGAAACTATACTTTTAGCGTAAGCAATATGACCATGTAATACTTATCAAATTCTAAATTGTACATACATCGCTTATTTCTATCAGCGCTGAGTAGTTTAATACGCTGTTACGATATCGTAACATATAGTATGAATGATTGTTCTAGAAAGAGAGAAAAAGAGATAAGGAGAGAGGGACAGGGGATAATGCTAATAACAGGGAACGTAGATTCGTAATGTTTTTTTATCATACCGTTGAAACTTAGCAAGGATATCTACTTTGTTAGAATAATACACCACACAGATCGAAAAGAAAAATGAGAAGTGACCAACCAAACCATGTATAGTTAGCATTAGCAAATACCAAGGTTGCAATTAGGAGGACAAGCGAGGAGAATTTGTAAATAAGGCTCGAAAAGTGAGTTGCATACGAGATTTAATTAAGGAAATAATATACATACTGAATAGTAATCTTATGTACAAAATAAGAATAGCGTAATACAATGTAGACTTGAGGTTTAATGAAGTGTATTAACTTATATAAAATAATACAATGTGATATAATCAATGTGTACATATACATATGTGTATATTTGTGTTGGGTGCCTGTGTATAATTAGAAATAAAATTGTCTAACTGATAATAGATTATTATTATTTACTCTCGATACGGCGATATAAATACCCCGCAACGATTAAAATAAAATTAATCAATTAAATGTTAATAATAACGTTGCCACGGTAATTAAATATTTCTACTACACCGAAGACGCGTACAGCCAACACACATTTAGAAGATGCGACTCAACTTCTAGATGTGTGCATGCAGCGTTAATATATCTATCTGCTTAGGATTTACTTTTTAGATTCATTTTCTATTTCCAGTTTTCTCTATTGTACACTTTACTCTCGTCCCTTGGATTTGCTTCACGATCGTCATTAGTATTCTAATATACATACATCGCTTATTTCTTTCAGATTTATTACTTGCATTGATTGCTCTTTGTATTTTATATAATCGCGGTAAGTATAGACAGCAGTATACCCGAGTGTTAAAGGAAGAAATTAGCCAATTTTACCCCAAAGCAGTTTCTATTTGTTATATCCACTCATTAGAAATAATAAGAAAATGTCGAAAAAAATGCGAAATAGTTGTGGCTTCTAAAATAATATAAGACATATTTATATTTTACGATTATCATGCAATAATTATATAATAAAAGTATTCTATGTAACATTTAATTTATAATAAGATACAAGACTAGAAAATTTTATTTGACTACACTTATTAAATTTAATCAATCAATTTTGAAGAGATTAAATAAATCTTTAATCAGAATCAAATTACTTTTGAACGGGCACTCTTATCCGTAATGTTTAACGCTTCGAAATATCATATGATCACTTGTCTAAATGTCTTCAAACGTTTGAAATATAATTTTAAAACACACAAATTGATTACTTAAAATTCTTTCACTATAGAATCTAAACACAACGTCATGATGCTGTTTATGCTTTTTGTGATATGCTCATATAAATCAGATACAAAGAATACCGGCATTTAAAAATAAACATTATTACAATAAAACATATAAAATGTTTCAATATATATATATTACAAGAACTGTGTTATGAAAAAATATATTCTTTTCTTTACAAATATATATTGTAGTATAGACTCAGATTAAGGTAGAATGAGTAGAAAATTGGGGATAATTTACCTGGCTTTCAGAAGACGATGCAGTTTCTCCACTAGAAGACGTGATATTGGATGTGTATGGAATTCCACGTAACGCTTGTCCAGGAGTTACTGATCTAGCAATCCCAGTAGCTGCAAAGACATTACAGTAGCTCTTATTTCATTGATACATTCAAGTTCTTAAAAATACTGATGTAATTTGTAATTCCAAAATAGATAAACATGCACGTATTAAAATTAAAATTATTGTATCATCTACGATTCCTAGCAAAGATTCAAATTTCAGATGAACACTAAAGATACATTTAAAATTCTATTAATTGACCAAATGTAATTCTGTTCATTCATAGGGCCGGAATTTTCTCTTATAGAAGATATGCGTATTCAAAATATATTAATCGTAATATTCTTACTTGGACCGCTGACAGGAACACTAGATACCGTGGCAGTGGGCTGAACGACTTTACTGCTAACCATTGGTGTCCCAGTGCCCAGTATTGTACCCTTAACTGGAAATAGACCGAAATGTTTCATTTAATCATTTTATATTAATAAATTGCTCACTAATTGAGACAAGTCACAGGTTTTACATACTTGTTTGTGGAGCACTAGCAGGTTTAACTGTAGGCATAGCAACTAAATTCGCAGGTTTGGCTGGAGGAGGCGGCGGCGTTGCACCGAGGCCTCTAGGAGAACTTCGCGCTTGAGACTCTTTCCACATGTCCATTTCGCTCCGAAGTTTCTCTAATTCTAACTCAAGATCTTTAGTTCTTTTCTCTTCCTTCGCTAACGCTTGTTTATATTGTTGCCTCTCGATGTCGAACTGTACGAGATGCTTCTCCAACTCGGCTTCCATTTGTAACGACTTTTTACTTTCCTCCTCTAGACCCTCGGCCATGGAGTCAATACGTACTTTCTCCTCGCTCAATATCTGTGCCAAATCTTCCGATCTCTTCCTCTCCTCTATGTACTTCATGATTATTTTCTTGCGTTCAGCTAGTAGTAAAAGCACTATTTGCTTTTGTCGGGTTCTCTCCTCTTCTAAAGTGTCGGTCACCTTTTTTAATTCTAATTCCAGTCTTTTCTTTTCTTGTTTCTCTAATTCTAATTCTTTCTTTAACCGCGTTCGTTCCTTCTCCAATCCATACGTAATGTCGTCACCTTGGGCAGTATCGTGTTCATGCTTACGCTTCTCTTCCTCCAATTCCTTGATAACCTGAAGAAAAATTACATATTAATGGACAAGTTATAGAATGTAGAAAATGTCTAGTCAATTCACTATGCAACGTGTACCTGTCTGTGCCTAAGTTCAGCTTCTTTAAGAACTTTAGCCATTTTAAACTGCATGCATCTTTGCTGTGTCACAAGCGACTCCAGAGTAGCTACTTGTTTGTTCACTTGATTTGGTTCATGTTCATTTATACCGCCTACCAGTACTACATCACGAGCGAGCGCAGCATGCGGGTCTGAAGTTCCACTCAAGTATCGCGTGGTTAATAAGTGTTTCAACTTATCTGACTAAAAGAATGCAAACCATTGCACATTCAGTTAATTCTTAAACGTAATCCTAAGTTGTTCTTCATAAATATAAACAAACAAATTACCTTTAATACTGCTATTACAATATCTCTTGCCTGCAATTCCCCTTCAAGATGACTTAACAATTTCAATAAATCATTCTTACTTAACTCCATTTTTGGATTACGCTAAAAGAGAATTTAAAGGGAAATTATATTGATGAAAGATTCTTTGTGTCACATAAGAAAAATTTCATTCAAACGGCAGAGAAAGTCTTTGTTTAAGATGAAATATAAATGTGTACTTTTAATGTATTGGAGGAATTCTTGTCCATTGCCTCTATGTTGTTAGACTGTTGTAAACTTATTTGATTCTGTTGTTGCATCGGTGACGGCGACGGCGACGGCGACGACGAAGGAGACTGGTAAGACTGCGACGATGGTGTGGTGGTGGCCAGCGACTGCATCTTCGCGATGCAGACCGAGACAGTCGTCGACGACCCGGACGATCCGTTCGCCGGCGATACTGTCGAACTTACGTTCACAGCATTTTGACTCTGCGATGCCATTTTCGGAGAAACGAGCTACAAGGGAGCAGCGTGCCCTCCCCGAGGAAAGAGCGTGATTTCTCGAGGGGAGGAGTACTGAAAAGTACTAGAGGAAAGTATCCCGCGGTTAAACCGTCTCAACCTTTGGTGTTACCGTTTTCATTTGGTCGAGGATGTTTATTTCGGCCCAGAGAGCCAACGTCAGAACAAGCCGCATCGCTCCGCGGCTTCTTTCTTATGTTTCGAACTCGTTTAAATCATGCCGAACACATTTAATCCGGCATTTAACTTTATTCCGCGACTATTGACAAATCAAGCACAAAGCGAAGTTCACGGATAGGAGCCTATCTCGTGAAAGGTGCTACGAGCTACGAGATCGTCTTATCGATTAAGCTGGTATCGAATGTTAATATTCGATTCGATTCTCAGTTTGCGCGGCGGTAAAATTCAAAAGTCTCGAATGTGTGGAAATATCAGAGCACGCAGTATGTTCACATTGAGGGATCACATCATCCATGGAATGTGTGGAGACTGGGTTCGCTTGTTTGGACAAGCGAACATTCGTAAATTAACCGCTGTACGAGATAGAATTATAAGAGCGTAATAAAAGAGATTGAGTAAACCGATAACGGGATAGTGTATAAATAATTC